TTTCGCAGAGGTGAACAACTTGTGTTTCGCGCGCTCATATGACCTTGGCAGTTGCGAGCGCCGTAAAACCTTATACTACTACTACAAGGCAGGTGATGTTGATGTTGATACGTCTTACAGAATTTATCTTTTAGTTTAATGAGCTTACAGTGCAGCTTCTCTATAACGACCTTCAATATAACGACATCCTCTGTATAGAAACATGGTGCCCTGGCCCCGATTTTTTTTTCCCTTATATATATCATTAGTAATTTTTGGTTGCCTCTATAGCGACAACTCTCTATAACAACTTTTTTTTCTGGTCCCGACGATGTCATTATAGAGAGGCTGCACTGCACTCAGACTTGTACTTTGACATTTCGCTAGAGCACTTTAAGGCTTAGCATAATATATCCTGCATTACTATACTACTACTACTACATTAGATATATGGGCTTTATTTATTGTAAACTGTTTAAGCTTTACTTTCCCTACCATTCTGTGGCTGTCTGTGGTCCCGCAGGTCTACAAGTACAAAATGTTGTGGTTGTTGCTGTCTGTGAGTGTGTCGCATAGGTCTACAAGTTCTTGTGAGGGTTTTTTAGTCTCCAACTATTCAGAAGAGCCTGGGCTTGGGTTATTTCCCCACCAGCTTTAGCGTCTGTTGAAAATGCCACCAAGATCTCTGCAGTCCATCAGTTGACACTCTCTGCCCACAGTTGCCTGCCTTATTCATCTAGAATTTCAAATTTCTTTGTATGTGATTGAATCATGAGTGTAACGTGTTATTATGTGAAATTTTTCTTGATGTACCAGTATTGAAAATGACACATTTGTTTTTAGGGTTGTGGTGTGTGTTTTTGGGTCTGTTATGTAAGTCTGTGATGATCGCCCAGTTTGTGAGTGCAAGAGATCACTGGTCGCTGTTCACCAATGCAAACTTTATTTTTTCTTTTTTGAATGATTGATGTATGAAAATTACCATGAAATACAATTCTTTTGTACTGAAAGTATACACACTGTTTGTTCATTTATATAATATTATATGTATGTATTTGGTGTGCTGCTCCGCAATTTAAAAAAAATATGTTTTAGTGTTTAGTAAGTTTTATGACTCTTGCAACACATATTGGTCATGTAAGTGAAGTTCCGAAAATTAGAGGTGTTACTAGAGATTAAAATACAAAGAAAAGAAGGAGGAGAGAAAATGACGATAAATGTTTGATAGGAAAGATGGAGCAAACCACACTAGACCATCACCAGCCACCCACCCTTCTGAACAGCAAACAGTTTCTTGTACACAGCTAAGATGAGGCTTCTATAAATAGTTTAGTCACAGAATGTGAGCCAGCATGGTGAAATCATTCGCACGTCAAAATAATGAAAGTCAAGAAACTGGCATTTTTACGCAGGTTTGAAAATTTTTATCTAATTTTCTTTCTTTTGGCTCAACACCTTTTATGCCCTATAAGGAACACATTTTTGTGTGGATTTTACTGAAAAAAGTTGATTAAAGGCATAAAACAGGTAAATTTTTAGCATCCACGGACTCTCAAGCTAAGGAACTAATAATTTTACTTCTGAAACAAGGCGACCCCCACCTCCTTCAATCGCCAATGTCTTAACTTGTATCCAAGATAATTGGATATTTTTAAAATCAAAAGCAAGACAAAGGGACAGGCTTTAAGATGATACCAATTACTCCATATCCCCAAAAATTGACGAGCGCCCGATTCCACCACGTCGTGACACATAGGTTTCTTATACACAGCTAAGGTTAGACTTCTGTGAATAGTTTAGTCGATATATATGCAAATTCAGAAATTTATGATAAATAAATCAGTGATGTTTATGGACTAGTAGTTAGGCTGAAGGTGGTTATGAGTTCGAATCCCATCTGGGACCTGAAATGATATTGGAAGGCACTTTACACAAATTTTCCTCACTTGACCCTGGTGGAAATGGGTACCCAGCTTCAGACGGCGAAAGACCTTGTCAGTATCATAGTGTTTGAGCATGTGCATTCCTCAGCTGGCACTGTATGCTTCCCTGGAAGCTGAGAATGTTCCTTAGTGTTCTAGGGTCTGCTGGGGGTAATGGTGGATGTAAAATGCAAAGAGCTTGCTGTAGATTGTCGATGTGCTATACGAATGCAATTACTATCATAAATTACAAACTCAAACTTCGTTGAATATTAGAAACAGTCGTTTATTTTACAGTTTTGTAGACACAAAAAAAACAGTAACAGGAGTCAACATATGTACACATCTCTGTCTCTTGTTCTTCCAGCCACACACACTGTGTCCATCTCATCACACTCTCATAATGACATTGTAACTTCTTGTCCATGTGCTTCATGGACACACACACACACACACACTGACACACACACACCGACACACACATTTATGCATGCATCAACACCAACACACAGACATACACACAAACTTATTCCCCATCAGTGTCCAGGTTTCAGGAATGTGTTGCGTTATTTCTCTCTCTCTCTCTCTCTCTCTCTCTCTCACTCTCTCACACACACACACACACCCATCAACGCACACACACACACTATCAGTGTCCAGGTTTCAGAATATGTATCATTCTCTCTCTCTCATTCATCCACACACAAACGCACACACACACACTATCACTCACTCACTCATCCACGCACAAACGCACACACACTCTATCAGTGTCCAGGCTTCAGGTATGTGTCGTTATTGTCAGGTATGTGTCCCATTATTCCCTCCCCCCTCTCTTCTCTCTCTCTCTCTCTTTCTCACTCACTCATCCACCCACACACACACACTATCAGTGTCCAGATTTCAGGTATGTGTCGTTATCCTCCTCCTCTTTCTCTCTCTCTCTCTTTCCCTCTCTCTCACTCATCCACACACAAACACACACACACACACTATCAGTGTCCAGGTTTCAGATACGTGTCGTTATTCCTCATCACCCTGGTAGTGGCAGCGCCGAAGTAGTCCAGGACGTAGGCCGAGCCGTCTGACGGGGTCAGGACCTGGACACACAGACAGACCCGGACTTAGTGGGAACTGGACATACAGACATTAGACAGACACACAGACAGACACACAGTCAGACACACAGACAGATGGGCGGGGACTTAGTAGGAACTGGACATACAGACATTAGACAGACACACAGACAGACACACGGACACACAGACATTAGACAGACACACAGACATTAGACAGACACACAGACAGACAGGGACTTAGTGGGAACTGGACACACTGACAGATAGACACACAGATAGACAGCCAGACAGACACACAGACAGACAGACAGACAGACAGACAGGGACTTAGTGGGACTAGACTCACACACAGACAGACAGACAGACAGACAGACAGACGGCTCATAGACAGGATTTGCCACACAAAAGGCACAGTGTTAGTAACTTAGTACAGCGGTCTCCGCCCTAGACTTAAGACACAGTGTAAAATAGGTCATCGTTTGCTACACACAGAAAAAATAGAAGGAAAATGCTGAAAACAACAACAACCAGTCACCTGGTCTTGGAGTCTGATACTGTGAAACAACAAAATACTAGTATGGTACACATATATATCTCCTCAGCCAGCTCCTCAGATTTACTAAACTTTAACTTTAAAAAAAAAATATTATAGCAGGTTCACTGGGTATCAGTTGTATGTGCTTGAGAAATATTTTGTCAAAATTCAGGTTCTAAATGTTGAAAAAAAAGCAAGAAAAGATTCATATAATTCAAGTATAAATAGTCACTTTTAAGGACAAGCGGTTTAACCCAGATTTCGGGGGTTTCCAAAAATCTTGACCTATACCAAAAGTGGGCATTGCCCTACCTATAGGAGAAGTTTGGTTTCACAGGTGTATCATGTATATTTGCTTGGTTATAGAGAAAACTCTCCTTGTCTTTTAAAGAAACTTAATAAGGGTCCAAAAGTGTTACCTTTGATTTTTTCATACCAACATTTTTTGGGATAGCCTCCTTGTGCTTAAAAGCGACCAATTGTTAAAAGAACGAAACAGTTTTCCCCCCTTTTCCGGAAAATTTTGCTATGAGGGCTTAGTACAGTTGAACAGTTTGTGGACAGTCAGTGTCCAGGTGGGAGTGTCAAGTGGGCAACGTACCTGGGTGGCTATCAATAAAATGTCGATGAGTTGTCCCAGGAACATAAACCCCAGGGTGGCAAATTTCACCAAGCCTGAAAACATAAACAGATTGACTGAAGAAATTTGGGGAAGAGATGCACGTAACGGTAATATATATATATCAATTGCCAGTAGGTCGGGAACATTTTTTAGAAAATAAATAATAATGATATTATTAATAATTATGATAATGATATGATAATAAATTGCATTCATGTACAGCTTTCTCTTTTTTCAATGATGTCTGTTTTTCTTCAGGCAAATTTGGAACCCCCAGGCATGGTCGGAGAAAAGCCAACAAGTGGGCGGCTAGTGGGTGCTCTGGTGTGGTTTGCTCCTTTTTATCTATCAAGCATCTGTAGTCCTTATCTCTCTTCTTTCTTTTGTTTGTATGTTACTCTCTAGAAACACCTCTAATCTTTGGCACTTATTTTAAAAGTATAACCTATTTGTGTTGCAAATGCTGCAAAACTCTTACATACATGTAAAGCCAACACTCACCTATGGCGGGGTAGCCGAGGTAGAACCTGTCCACACCAAACATACCCAGGAACACAGACAGTAGTAAGGCAGTCTCAAAGGAATGTCCATTTCTGATTTTAAAAAATCAATAAATAAAGCTTGGGTTTAAAATAACCCATCACAATTTTACAAACATAACAAAATGAAGCAGAAGGAGGAAAATGACAGAGAAGACGTGTGCCAAAAACATAAATAACTTATAACATGCTGCTAAAGTTTCAGCTGCGTTCAAAAGAGGAGGCAAATTTCGAAAGGACTGGGTCTGTGTCAAACTAGAGCATGAGCTGTTTATTCCACTGAGAGTGTCACACCAAAGTTTTGACAACTGGAAATCACACTGCGTATATATGTTCAGGAAAATCCGTGAAATTAATTCTGGCGAATAAAAGTTTAGGTTTTTAAAAAGTTTGTAAATCAATGAGTGACTTACGTCCACTGGCAGGGAACGGGTTGCTGGAAGCTTCCGTTGAGGTAAAGTCCGTCACAGTCCACCCCTGGGGCGACACTGCACCACACTGAAATTGTTGGTACATGTGGTGTTTGTTACAAGTATACAGTTTGTGATTCTCAATAACAGAGCCAAACATTCACATTTTACGCAGATACAATAATCAGGGTTCATTAAGGAACATCTATAAATGTAAGGCTTTCGATTTAACAAATAAAAAATGTTGCTGCCAAAATGAAAAAAAAGTGTATTGTTGGCTTACACGGCAGTATGCGCAATTTCTCCAAGTCCAGGATATTGACTGTCCCCACTATTGCAAACCCTGAATAATGAAAACAGGGCAAAGACAAAATATTTCTCCTCTGGATATATATGTCATTGAATTTTGTAAAAATAAGCACAAAATATTTTATAGATTTCAATTTCAGCCAAAGACAAACAACATGAAGAATGTCTGCATGATCTCAGAGGGAAAACTTTAACAGCATTGCATAGATCGAACACCAACACAACAGTACTACAACTTGTTGTGTAGTAAGGATCTTTTTGTCACTTCCCACTAGTTAAGTCTCCTGAAATCATTCAGAAAAGCTCAAAGCTGTAAAGTGCCAAATTTTCCCAAACGTATTAGAACTGGCACATTACCTAAGACTTGCTTCGACTCCTTGGTGCACCCTCGGGCCTGTTGTGTATCTGGGTCAATGTCAGGTTCTGAGCACAGGTATCTGTCCTGATTTAAGGCCAAACATAACATGCCATGCTACAGTATAATATAGAGATCACAAACTGACAACATGCTATAATCATCAATATGTGTCACAACGTGGTAGAATCAGGCGCTCGTCAATTTTAGGTCGTGTGAAGTTTATTGCAATATCATCTAAAAGCTTATTCATTTGCCGTAATTTCAATGGAAAAAAAACCCATTTATCTGGAATAGAAGTCGAGATATTTGCTATTGAAGGAGGGGGGATTGCTTGATTTTAGTGGTAAAATTAGCGAGAAAATGGCCGCTACAGTTTAGTAACTTCAATAGCTTAGGAGTCCTTGAAAATTGAAAAATTACATATTTTGTGCCTTTAATCAACCTTTTTCAGTCAAGTTCGCGGAAATTAGTTTTATGTCGACATTAAAGATGTTGAGCTAAAAAACAAAACTCAATAAAAATTGTCAAACTGGCGGAAAAAAATGCGTTTCTTCAATTTCATTACATGTATTTTGAAGAGCAGCTGATTTCACCACGATGCCTCAAATGACCAGGAGGCAGTACCAAGCCCCTCTGAGGTAAAAAGAAAATAAAATGGGGAGGGGGGATCAGGGGCATGCCCTGGAGTATTTCTCCATAATTTGAAGCTTGGTAATTTGATATGAAATTTTCTTGATAGGCAATTTCTATTTGGACTCGAGTCTGATTAGATTTCTTTATCAATTCAGGTCCGAATACATGGGTTTTATCTAATGTTTAATTTATTTGGACTCGGCTTCAAGTGAGTTATGTGAGGGTAAGGAGGTTACATAATATAACTGTCGCCAGGGGATTTTATGTAAAAAAGCAAAATTAGAAATAAAATTACCTTCTAGGACTGTGTAATTGTGTCAAAAGTCAAAAGACTGCACTCTCATTGCCCAAAGGCACAGTCTTAAGTACCCAGTAACCGACAACTCAGGGTCTTTCCACCACCACTACAGCATCATCATTACTTCCACCACTATTTGTCTTTCCACATGTTTAATTTCATTATTGTTGTGTGTTATAGTTTTTCTGTAATAAATTAGGACCAGTTTAGATAGATCTAGATTTAGATCTAGTAACTGGATAATAAAGCTCATGTCTCCATAGTTATCATTATAATCCCCAAAAAATTTTCATAAATGCTGGCAATATTTAGGAACAAGGGTCAGAAGTCGGAACGGACATCATGATGGACTCAATTCAGAGTCCGAATATATAGTTTTTGTCTAATCGGACTCGAGTCCGAATAGTCACTTCGTTTTGGAAAATAATTGATTTGCAACGTTTTTAGTGGCTAGGCTATACTGTTCTGCAGTTTAAAAAAAAAAAAATACGGAGGTTTGAGGGACCCTCAAAACAAAAGCACTGAACTACTCACTGTACTGTAGTCTGTAGACTAAAGAATCATGTAGTGTATTTCTGCATGTGGGAGTCAAAGTAAAAGTAAAAATTTACCAATCAAACAACAATTCGCTCAAATGTAAAGGATACTGTCCAACGAGGAGATCGGTACATTTCTGCAAACTCCAACTGCCATCTCTTCCCCCAACACCGTCTTCCACACCGTCTGCTACAACTTGAAAGAAGAGAGGGACAACAAGCGACAAAACAGAAAACAGAACATTAAAAGCAAATGCTGTCTTCACAAACCGAAAGAATCGGTTCAAAGCAGTAGATTTATCAGTTGCTGAATTTCTTGAATCCATACCAATATTTCACACTCTCCAAATGAAAACGTCCACATCAATAAAAGCGGTCATAACACTATGACTCTGGCTTTGCCCTCTCTACTCTCTGAGCCTATCTCCAATCAAAACACTAGGGCAAAGCACAGTATTACAGACCCGGAAATGCATGCGACTCAGAAAAGAATATGATAATAGAATTAGTCTTTTACTCTTACAGTTCCTGTTGTCACATAGAACAAATTTTTCTTGATTGTTTGTTGCAAAAAGTAAAAGAAAATTTGAAATTTGTTTTAATAAGGCTTATGATAAAGGGGTGCGTATTAATATTTTTTGAGCGTGTGTAAAACATCGACCCCAAAAGTATACGAAACTGTTCACAAGGAAGAAAGTCAATTTCAACAGCTGATAGAGACGGAAGTGTGGAACGTAATGTTGTACTTTCGATTCTGTTGACCTCAATGCATTATAGTTTATGTTTATGTTTATAGCTTGCCTAACGTCTATACTGAGGTAGTTTTTTTTTTCATTTTCCTGAACAGAATGATATCGCCAGATAAGCCTAAGACTAAGTCAATTTAATTAAAGAATACGTAGCCTAGTGTACTATCTAGATCTAATCTAGATCTAGATCTAGATCTAGATCTAGAATCTAGATCTAGAATCTAGTAAGATAGATTCTAATTCTAGAATCTAGATCTAGTAAAAGTAAAAGAAAGTGTCAAAAGAATTTGCCTTTCTGCCTTTCAGAGCCCAACATGAGTGTGCAGAAGAAGCTACAGCTTACTTTGGCGATCTTGAAACCTGATGTTGTCGGCCATCCACATATCGTCGAGGTGTGTCCATACTTGTCATATAAAATAAACGTGCTGTTAGTTGTAATCAAAGTTACTTTCCTAACAAGATTTGATATTCTCTACTGTCAAGTTGGACAGGTAGAAAAGACATTCTTCAAGTCTTCTCGTCAGCAATTAACCCTTCCTCATGTCCTGCACCAATCTGTTCCATGACTGAAAAATACCACTGATTCGGCCTTACTGTGTTTTAGCTCCAAGTCAGTTTTTGTTGCTTTTTATTTTTGAAGTGACTATTTCTCAAAACATTTGGGAAAATGAACCTGATCTCTATTTCTCCGAACGGTTTCCGTTCTGGAGATTTTTTGGTTATTTGCGAGAGTTCGACGACATCTTTCATTCTGCCATTCAACGAGGACTGGGAAGAAGCATTTTTTGCATCGAATTCAATTTCTAGAGCTAGAATCTAGAGATTATTAGATGTCTAAATATTTAGATACTTCAATTGTTGTTGGGGCCACGTTCCCGGACTATATTTCATTTGAAATTGCCTTCAAAAGGCGCTGCGAGGTAACAAGACTGCTCGACTTTGGCAGTAACCTATTTTGCATTAAGTCATCCCTAAAGCAAACACTACAAATTAAAAACCTTGACGTGACGCCCCCCCCCCCCCCACACACACACCTTACACACACGCACACTCACACAGACTCACACACACAGGTGGGCTACTCCATTCGGAAACCACTAATATAACCAACAAATCTCGAGAAGAGAAACCGTTCGGAGAAACAGAGTTTAAGTTTATTTTCTCGAACGTTAGGGATAGAGCCCACCTTTTGTTTTTGCCTTTGAGATATGATCTGATTCTGTGCTCAAGTTTGGGGATGCTCGATTTGGGGGACAAAAATTATGATATAACATACTATCTTTCTTTTGTGTCTAATTTGTAGTTTTTATTGTTATGACTTTCGGATTTTAAAACAAAAATAAAAGTTTGATTAGAATATTTTCACAGGTGTCTTAACATTCCAGAAAGAAATATATTACATTATTCATAGAAACTTGTCAATTATATAATATATATACCACTTAGTTTCTGTTCATTTATAAAAATCGTTTCTTTCCCCCCCACAGAGTATAAGAAGACTTATCCTGGAAAATGGCCTCTACATCCTCAACTCCAAAATGGTGCGCCTCTCTCCCAGTCGAGCAGAGGAATTTTACGCAGAACATAGAGGTCAGACTTGTTTTGTTAGTGAATTTTCTACTTTCACTTTCAGCACCCTCGTTATGGAATAAACTTTCATAATTGGTTGAGCTTGGTCAACAAACTTTTCTAGAAAGCATCAGGTTTTCAATTTGCTTTTATTAGTTTTACAGTAAACCATGGTCTAAGTGCACCAACCAAAATTTGCAGTTTCCAAGAACAAGCTTAAAAGGCTTTGGAATTCACCAAACTTTAGTGGCTATTTTCTGGCTAATTTTACCTCAACATATCGACTTCTGTGTGAGATAAATGAATAATTTTTTCATTAAAAACAAGTCAAGTGAACAAGCTTTAAGATGATACAACTAAGTCTTTGCCCCAAAAAATTGACAAGCACCCGATCCCACTGTGTTGTGACACATTTTAACATCACGTTGCTCTTTTCTTCCTTTTCAGGGAAGTTTTTCCAAAACAGGCTTGTGTGCTTCATGAGCAGGTAATGTCATGTGTCGCTGGAGAGTCTACTCTAAGAGAGCTTCTGTGTTGTATTTAGACAGCATATCTGCGTATGTATGCAATTGTAAGTCTGGTGGTGGTGTTTTTATTAAATGGTTGATGAGGAGATGGAGAAAAGGTGATTTTGGATGGTTAACTGGTAGTGGAGGGTTTTTTCTGTTTTGTTTAAAATGATCAATACCTGAACGTTTGCCACCTCAGATTTTCTTTATGCTTAGTGTCTATGAGACTTATGAAATACAGTGGAGTCCGCTTAAATCAAATACAGTTAATCCAAAAACAAATGTAAATCAGATCAAAATAAAATCTCCTATTATTTTTTCTTCGATTTGAGCAGCCTCTCTAAACAGAAAACACAGCTTAACAGAAAAAAATCAGGAGGTCAAGCAAATTTCGTTATAAGCGGACTCCACTGTAAAATCCTGTCTGTCTGCACATGGTTTTTGGACACTCAGATGGGGGTATGCTTAGTCTTTTTATCGTCGTCTAGTAGAACATTAGAGTATTTAAGAGATGGAACCTCGGAATTTAATGTCCGGCTCCGATAAGACCAAGCCTAATGGGTTGTGAACCTTGAAAACTCAACAAAACGACTCAAGTTAAAAAACGCCCAGTCTGGGATTCAAACCAGGGCCATTTGCTCCATAGTTTAGCACTGTTCCTCATCAAATGTGGTTCTTAAATCATTTGAACTGGCCAAGAACTATAACTCTACTCGTTTTTTCCGGCAGCGGGCCGGCGTGGAGTCACATCCTCTGCGGGGACGAGGCCATCACTCGCTGGCGGGGTCTCCTGGGGCCCACCAAAGTCCTCAAGTAAGTGGACAGACAATGCTCAGCTGGGAACTTACTCTCTACTAGCCTTTCCTTGTTCATCTTGACATATTTTTATTTTTGTTTTATTCTGGGAACTTACACTCTACTACCCTTTCCTTGCTCATCTTGACATATTTTTATTTTTGTATTTGATTCTCTAAATTCTGTGAGCTGTTTCCTGGGCTTGCTAAAACCCTCAATTACATGCAAAGTAAACTTGTTGTGTCAGTTGTAAATAATCAATTTTTTTTGTTTCATCACCCAACCTCTCTCCTCTCAGGGACTGACACGATTGGTTTTATTCCTATACATTTTGAGGAAGCTTGCCTCCTAAATTGTGTACATTTAAAAAAAGAGACAGCTTTATCTTTGTCTCCCCCCCAGGACTGTGTTTGAGGAACCACAGAGTATTCGAGGCCGCTTCGGTTTGACCGACACCCGCAACTGTGCTCATGGCTCAGGTACGGTACTGTGACCACATCGCTACCCGTCTCCTACCGTACACCTGTCCCTACCATTCTCCTACCTACCATACCATACACCTGTAGCTCCTTCTCCTACCATACTTCTGTAGCTCTTTCTCCTACCATACTCCTGTAGCTTCTCCTACCATATGCCTGTTGTTCCTTCTCCTACCATACTCCTGTTGTTCCTTCTCCTACCATTCTATCATACACCTGTAGCTCCTTCTCCTACCATTCTATCATACACCTGTAGCTCCTTCTCCTACCATTCTATCATACACCTGTAGCTCCTTCTCCTACCATTCTATCATACAACTGTAGCTCCTTCTCCTACCATACACCTGTAGCTCCTTCTCCTACTCCATAGACCTACCTGTAGCTCCTTCTACAATACACCTGTAGTTCCTTCTACAATACACCTGTAGCTCCTTCTACAATACACCCGTAGCTCCTTCTACAATACACCTGTAGCTCCTTCTACAATACACCTGTAGCTCCTTCTCCTACTATATACCTGTAGCTCCTTCTCCTACCATTCTATTATACACCTGTAGCTCATTCTACCATACAACTGTAGCTCCTTCTCCTACTATATTCCTGTAACTCATTCTTCTACCATACTTCTGTAGCTCCTTCTTCTATACTCCTGTAGCTCCTTCTCCTACCATACACCTGTAGCTCCTTCTCCTACTATACACCTGTAGCTCATTCTCCTATGATACACCTATGGCTCCTTGGGAATTCTTTAGTTCTAAGAAATGGGAGATGGTTGTCTGTCTTGTCGTTTGTAATGCTATCGACATATCATCGGCCTGGTGGTAAAATGTACTGAACCCATGAAACAAAATTGTTCAGGAGAGAGAAATAACAGTTTCATTTTTTCTTGCTTTTATCAACATTTTGGAATTGAATTTGGACAAAATATTTCTGTAGCGCATGCATGCAATACCACAAATTAAGAAATTGCAATGAAAGAATTGTCCCATATGTTTGGCTTAGTGCTCATTAGCACCTGGCCAATGACCTGATCTTTGTGTTTTCATTTCTCTGAAAGTAGATCTATTGAGAGTGTGACAAGGGTACAAAATAAGAAGAAACTGATCATAGATATGTACATGTAAGTTGCCATAGTACTTGGGCCTAGTGCAGACAGTTTTAAGCTCTGTTGTTCTTGGGTCTGCAGTAGTGATGGGCATATCGATATATCAATATTTTTACCCATATCGATATTGATATATGCCCACTACTCAGACCAGACTCAATAATTATCAATATATCGATATATTTGGTGGCGAATCTCAATTTATCGATAATACTTTTCTAATGTTGAAAAATACCGATATATCGAAATAAAAATATTGATACTGTATCGAATTCGATATTGCTGATATTGCCCATCACTAGTAGTTACTGTCACAAGTGCAACGGTGAGAAGCTTACAGCACAAAGCAAATGTTTAGAATCCTGGCACTGGGATCTGTGGTAGGTTTGTTACATGAATCTGGAACGCTTGATTAAAATCATAACACAAAAGGGAAACGAAAAAGTTGTTAATACTGGCATAGATATGTTCTTATGTACATCAAACCACTATATTTTATACATGTATATATAGTATATTTACTTCTTATTTATCTGGATGGGAACATGTCCTGGCACTTTTATACATACTGTATATTATGTGTGTTCGTTGTTCTAGCTCTCTTTTCAAGTACAGATGGGTGAGATGAATACATTATAAGGCTGTTGACAGATTGATGGACAATGTAAAGGTCACTTGTTTATTATTATCATTCATGTTATTATTACTATTATTATTGTTATTATTATTATTATTATTATTGTTGTTGTTATTATTATCATAAATATTTTTTATTACTATCATTATTATTCATATTGTTATTATCATTGTCATTGTTATTACGTTTTGGAGTTGTTACTGAAAAAATTTGGAGGGGGGGGGGTGTTCTATGTCTCTTCCCATATATCAGATGATATTTTGTCTTTTATTCTATCTTGTACTATCGTTTTCTTTCAGACTCGCCAGAGACGGCCAAGAGAGAAATTGAGTTTTTCTTCCCAGAATTCAACGTTGACTCGTGGTATAGAGAAGAGCATCACTTGTTCCAGCAAGATCTGGTGAGGTTCGACCCCGACACCTTCCGGCATCAAGTACAGTCAGAGGTCCCTGCGGAGAAAAGTTCCTTGTTGTGACAGAAAAAGTTAGAGGGTGGTTGGCGGGTGCTCTGGTGGGGTCCGCTTCTTCTTTCCTATCAAACATCTATCGTCCTTATCTCTCCCCTTCTTCTTTTTTATGTTTGTTACTCTCTTGTAACACCTCTAATCTCCTGGCGCTCATATGACTTTATGCAGTTGCGAGCGCTGAAAAACCTCTACTAAAACTTTTTTTGAAAAGAAAGTTACGCTGGCTCATGTCTGTAGTCATGTTGTCTTGTTGGTGGTTGTTACAGCGGACGTTGAATTGACGGCGGTCGTGTCGAGTAGGTTCGTGAACACAAACACTGACCAGGAAACTGTAGTTGGTAAACGTATAGTATAACCCCCCACACCCCCTTTTCAAACTGCTTGGGTCACCGTGGGGGTCACACCTATGTCCCACAGCAGTGAAAAACAGAGGGTTGTAGTTGTTATATTACGTGGAGTCTGACAGCTCTTTAAATGTACTCAGCACAAAGTTTTTATTTTATTTTTGATTTTTTTCAGATTTTTTATCTGTGCAGAGATGCCAACCAGTACGATTTTACGTATTTTAGTACGATTTTTGGCCGAAAATACATGAATACGAATTTTCAGTAACAAAATACGCATCCTGGAATGCGAAAAACTACGAGATTCAGCTTGGGCGAGTAAACCTAATTGCCTCAGGTTCCATCTTTTGTCAAAATAGTATCAGTATCGCAGAACTGGAATATTTGAAAACCAAGTCCGATGTGGTCAGTAAGTTCATTTTTGCCGGTCACGATCGTGATATTATATTCGTTCAGCTTTTCCCTGTCTGGAGAGTACGTTTCACTTTCACGTGAAAAGGCAGATATGGCGGCAGGCAGAAGCGTATGTGACACCGAGGCTCGATCGGGAAAATCAAGATCTACTTTCGCTTAAGTTACCACCGAGAAGTTTGCCAGCAGTTGTCTGATAACGCAACATTTCTGGCATGCAGGTTGTGCAGTATAAACACAATGTCATCGTGCAAATAAAGTGTAATAAATACTCTGACTCGTCGCTGTGCTGTCACTTGTGGAAAAAAAAAGAAAAGAAAATACAAGCGTCGTCCGATTTTTAGATTGTCTGGCTCGCCATCGTGACCGGTCACTGACCCTGCGCGCATTCGCATCATAAATAAATGCGGCATCGTGTGAGCAAAGACGGTCTCTGTGGGAGTAACGGCGTTGCGAAGTATATGACTACGGAATAAGGGAGGAGATTATTGATTTTTGGGGGGTTTAACTAGTTTAAGATACTATCGGGGGTTTAAGGCAACACCAGAGGACAAAAACTTGGAACCAATTTTCAGAATTTTGATTAGAGCTTTCTGCAAAGCGCGCGTTGGTGCAGGCCATGTGCGGAATCGGGACCCTTCATACTTTGCAAGTCTGTGTTATTGAAATAAAGTGTTCGCGTTTCATTGGTTGGGTGATAGTAAATTATACCTACTTGGATGGGTGATAGTAAATTATACCTACAGTGTATGTTGTAGCTTTCTGTTCAAGACTGGCAGATTTTCAGTGTCACTGCATCTTGCCCTACCACAGTTGTTACAACTCTCACAGTGCATGGGTCTACTTGAGCCATTCAACTTATTGCTTTTCTCTGAGTTTGAGCAATAATTTGAGTCTGTCAGTTCATAATATGAATCATGACACCCAGACTGGTTCTTGATAGTCGAAATTCTTGTTCTAGGCCCTTCCGAACTCTCGAAGCAGGATTTATTTTTTATATAATGATGAGAGGAAAATATTATATATATAATAGACTGGAATACTTAAGTCAAACAAGACCCCAGTACGACATTGAACACTGACATGTTGTTGACTGGATACATGTATATTGTACGCGTGTGTGCTCCCTTTTTCGAGCTGGTGAGCTAGTAATTTTTTTTCAGGAAATATTGCTGGACACCCTGAACATTCTACTATTACTGGTTAGTCGGTCGGTCGTGGGGAATACACATTTTCCCCTGAAAATACACATTTTCATATTTCCCAATACTCATTTCGGTTTTCTGTGGTTGGCATCTCTGTCTGTGGTAATGGTTGTAAAGAATCTACATGCTCTAGAAATATAATATTTGGTTGAAATTCAAATTTTAAATGTTGGAAAAAAAAAAAGCAGGAAAAAACACAAAATGTAGGTGGAATTGTTTAAAAGAATGAAACACGGTTTTTTTCTCCTCTAAATATTTTTTTTTTCTAGGCATCGTCCAGGCTTGCTGATGATACATTACTTTTACCGACCACAGTAAAACCTCGGTATAACGTACTCTGCGTAAAACATACTCTCGGCTGACGTTCATTTTCTGAAGTCCTTCGTCCCAATTAGTACGTTTGCCCTTAAAGTTGAAGGCATAGTCTAAAAAGTCTGGAAATTTGATCATATAAGCTACGCTTCATGACTTCAAGGACAGTTTATGATCTGTGGCTTGTTAAGATTTGGTTTGGACTTTATCATATGTGATTTTCTGTTTGTGGCCTAGATTTCCTACAGCTAGTTCTGTCTGTTGTGCTGCAATATTTTATTGTCAATGTGGCCTTTGTTAAAAATGTGAGCACTTATGAGAGAGAAAGAAAGAAAGAATTTTTACAGAGCAGAGATGTTTCAGCATGTAATATATTATTTATGTTCTTTCATGTTGTATGTGTATGCGTCAGTGTACCATTCGTAACACCATTGCCATAGTCAACGACCAAGACAAATTTCTCCCTGTCAGAGCAAGATGAATAAAGTTGTCATTGTCATCGTCATTGTTATTGTTATTGTAGTTTTGTAAGTTTATGTTGCAGATGAGTGGGCAAGTGTATCTGCAGTATAGAGAGAGTGGGAGTGGGTGGTTGGCGAGTGCTCTGGTGTGGTTTGCTCCTTCTTTCCTATAAAAAATCTGTCGTCTCTATCTCCCCTCCTTCTTTTTTGTGTTTGTTACTCTCTTGTAACACCTCTAATCTTCAGCACTTATATGACTTTATTATATTGCAAGTGCCGTAAAACTCGTACTAAATCTAAAAACTAAGAGTGTGGGAGGGAGGCAAAAAGAGTGGGAGGGAGGCTGAATTATGTTTCAGATCTGTGCAGTAAATACTTTATTTTCAAACTCATACGGAGGTGCAGAAAAGTGCTTCCCATTCCCGGGAGAAGTGCCCTTTCATATTTACCTATAAAGTTGAAAAGAAAATTTAGATCTACTGCTTGAAAAGACAAATCAGGATTGTTATAAATTTCCAATCTCAAGGCACAACACTCAACGTAAATGGAACCAACAGTTTTTTATTTTTACACAAAAAGTGTTGGATGTGCTATAGTGTATCCAGTCACAGTCAGTTCCTCTGATATGGTGGTCTTGATGATGATACTGGTATCACAAGGTGATGTAGACGACGATACTAGTATCAGTAATGACGTAGATGATGATACTGGTATCACAAGGTGGTGTAGGCGACGATACTAATATCAGTAATGATGTAGATGATGATACTGGTATCACAAGGTGGTGTAGGCGACGATACTTATATCAGTAATGACGTAGATGATGATACTGGTATCACAAGGTGGTGTAGGCAACGATACTAGTATCAGTAATGATGTAGATGATGATACTGGTATCGCAAGGTGGTGTAGGCGACGATACTAATATCAGTAATGACGTAGATGATGATACTGGTATCGCAAGGTGGTGTAGGCGACGATACTAATATCAGTAATGACGTAGATGATGATGCTGGTATCACCACCAGGACCACTGATAGAAATAAATGTAAAATGTATCACAAAAGGTGATGTAGATGATCATATCAGTATCTGAATCAGTGTGGTGTAGATTATGATACTGGTATCACATAGTGGTGTAGATTTAGATATACTGGTATCAGTGTGGT